ATCGGGCTCCCTGCTCTGCAGGAAGCCTGCTTCTCCCTCTCCCACTCCCCCTGCTTGTGTTCCCTCTCTCGCTGTGTCTGTCAAAGAAATAAAAAATCTTAAAAAAAAAAAAAAATTTGTTCTAGGTGTTCAGGTCAGGTAACAGAACAAGTTGGAAAAATACATGACCTGTTTTCCTGTATTTGTATATATTTATAATGATCAAAGTTTTATTTAAAGTTTTCCTTCTGTATGATTATCTCGTGTAAAATAGGATGAGACATTTCATTTGTATTCTTCTCCAGTATAAGTTTGTTTTGTTGTTGCTGTTCTGTCAAATAAGGTGGGAACTAAGGCTGATGATTACACACAGATAACATTGAGGGTCTGCTCTCATATGAGTCCTCTGATGTTGAATACAATGAGGACTCCTACTGAAGGACTTCTTGCCAGTGGGTTCTGTGCCTCCTGAAGCCTTCCTAACACTGATTACATTCTCAGGTGTTTCCCAGTATGATTGCTGTGATGCTGAGTAAGAGAGCTATGCATGAAATCCTATCCACAGCAGTCACATTCCCTTGGCTTTGGAGTACTCAGAGGTAATTATTTGGTGTGAGAACTTTTCCACATTTAATACAATTGGGTTTTTTGTTCTTATTTTTTCCAGTATGAGCTCTCTCAAGTCAGACCAGAGTGAATCAGGCCAGAAGCCTTTCCAGCTATGATCATATTCCTGGGCTTTCTTCCCTGTTTGAGTTCTCATGTCAAAAAAACTCATGAAAAGAACTTCCTCCATTCAGGGTCTTAGCATGTTAGTCTCCCATGTGAGCCTTTCCTTAAAGCCTGAGCTTAAAATAGGCTTTCTCACACTAAACACATTTATTCAGTCTTGTTCTTAAATAAATTATCCTTTGTATAAAACAACTGATTTCCTACATCCACTACACATTTGCTTTATAGCCCGTGTGAATCCTCTCAGGCTACACAAAAGGTGAAATCTAGAAAAGGATTCCTTCTCTTCCTCCCAAAAAATAATCTCCTTGTAGAAGTTATTTTTTTCTGCTAAAGCTTGCACTAATTTGTGTTGCTACATTCATATTTGTAGGGCTCATCTCTCCTGCTTCATTCCTTGACAGGTGAAGAATTAAATGTCCTGCAGGCTTTCCTATAATCATGACCTTCAAAATAGTGTCTTTACTCCATTGCTTTCCTATGGATTAAATCTAGATTGTATCAAGTTTTCCACCCAAACCACCCATGTGGCAATACTTTCTTGAAAGGACAGAGTGATGGCTAAAGATCTGAGTGCCATCAAATAGCTGTCCACATTCCTTATCTTCACAGTATCTTCCCAAATCAGTGCCTTCTTAAAGATGAATGCCGTGTCTTAAGTGCTTATTACTCAGTGTCCCTTCTACTTCAGCCAATGACCGTGCTGCCATTTTTGCTGTCAGGGAGAGCTGGAGAACCACACAAAATGTGTTGCCTCAGAAAGGCTGAGCTTTCCACTTAAACCCAGTCCCCTGCATTGGGAAGAGTCACCACTACACCAGTGAGGGCAGAGAACACTTGGAGATGATGGTCTCATCTTACAGTAAATAAAGCATGCCATTCCAAACACTAATGATTCCCAAGTTTTTATGCCCCACCAGGACTCCTGAAGTCCAGAGAGGTGCATTCCACTGGCTTCACAAACCCCTACCTGGATGTCTCTAAGTCCCTTCTCATTCACACTTCATTAACAGAACCAGTCAAGATCTGGGACAGTTCCACAAACATGAATCTAGGTGAAAGCTGTAAGGGAGTTCTTTTTACTATTCATGTAACTCTCTTTAAAATTACTTCAACTAGGTAAAACAAAACCAAACCTCTATTTCTACCCTTCAAAAGTTTATGCCTTTACCAGATTTCCTCATGTCACTGACTAAAACCAAAAATTCAGAAGTAGTGATTTTTCTCCTTTATTACGCTCCTTTCAAAGTTAGATGCTGGGGCGCCTGGGTGGCCCAGTCGGTTAGGTGTCTGCCTTCAGCTCAGGTCATGATCCCAGGATCCTGGGATCGAACCCCACATCGGGCTTCCTGCTCAGCAGAAAACCTGTTTCTCCCTCTCCCTCTGCTGCTCCCCTTGCTTGTGCATTCTCTCTCTCTCTCAAATAAATAAAATCTTTTAAAGTTAAATGTTGATACATACAAAAAGAATGTATGTGGTAAACACATATGTTACAAATAGTCACAGGAAATCCCTGAAGTCTTTGCCTCTGAGGGATTCTTGGCAGCTTCCTTTCCTTTGGTCATTACTCACCTGACCCCAGTGAATCCACTTATGAACTGGGAGGCGGCCATGCTGGCTTCTCCCCAACCCCCCTGCTACTCTCAGGCCAGGTAGTATCACCTCTTCCCTAGATGCTACCTACCACAGCTCCCTGGCCTGCTTCCACCTGGGCCCTACTATAGTTCTTTCTTCTTAAGCACCTAAAGTGTGCTTGAAAAGCCGTATCACACACCTGCCTGATAAAAATCAAAACTCTCCTCAGAGTGAAGGCCCTGTGTGCACTGCCAAACCTAGCTTGCATGTCAGTATACCTCAGTTACCTCTTCCCAGCCCATTCAGTGGCTGTTTTCTGAATGTGCCAAGGTTGTTCCATTCTCATGGTCACCCCAAATGCTGTCTCCACGCCTGGAAGCTCTCTTTACCACCACTCATATGTCTGTAGAATTTTCTTTGGCAATTGGCTTAAAATTTCACTCCTGCAGTGCCCCCCCACCAACCACCTCCTCTGGAGTAGTAATTTCCCATTATCCCCCACATTACATCACATTCTTTTTCGTCTCAGTACTTACCACTACTTATCTGTTCACAGAGTTATATCTGGGGAACTTGTTTGTAAAAGCCATAATCTTTTAGACTACAAAGTCCACAGTGGCAAGGATTATGTTAGGTCTTTGGTTCACTACCGAAGTGTTTAGTGTACTACATGGGACCCAAGAGGACTTCCGCAAGTTATTTGTGAGGTGTAACAAGGGGAGGCAGTGGAGGGAAAACAACACGTAAAGGACTCTTTATGACAGAGCAGAGATGAGTCTGGCAACTATTACCTCAGGCACACTCTGTAATAAAGTGTCCTGATAAGCCTCCCTGCGCATGGTCTCTTGCTCTGGGACATCACCTCAGCATCTCCTGTCACCTGTTAAGCCAGTTCTCCCAAGATGTGCAGAACCACAGGTGCCCAAAATCCCTCATGGCAGCTAAGTTCAGGGAACTACTAGATCATCCAGAAGTGCAAGGCTGGAAGGTTTGCCAACATAGGACTTGAGCCCAGGAAGGATGAGACACAGACCTGCCAGAACCAGAGCCACCACACAGGAAGGGACTTTGGAAGGCTGGATCAAGGGGAACAAGCAGGAAAGATACCACGGTGGGTAGACACGAAGTGCTTGTGTTGCTGGGGACCTTTCAAGTGAGGTATAGTTTAGTGACCTGTGCTAGTGGTTGGAAGGGAGGTTTTCAAGGTAGGGAATGAAAGGAATGACTCTGAATATGGAATAGAAAAAAACATTAATGCTGAGCCATCAAACTGAATCCAGAAAAGGGGGCAGAGAGTCACAGAGATGCCAGTCTATGCTGTGGCAAACAGAAAAGCATCACGAAAGACGGGTACCAAGTGCAGATTTCATAGCTGAATACTGCTACAAGCAGTAGTTCCAATGTCACTTGCATTAGAACACAGAGAACAAAGGGAAGGAAGAGCATCCAAAGTTTTCTTCACAAAGTCAGCACACTCTGATATAAAAGCTGATTAAGATAAAAAACACAAAAAAGAAATCCACCTCCCCAACCTAATTGATGAATACTGATGTGTGAGTGGATGCCAGCAGCAAGTTACAACAAAGGCACTTCTACGTTTATTAGGTCACCGTGTTAACTGTTCAAAGGAGAAAATCACTATGATCACCTGGGAAGGCTGTGAGAGAATACCGGGGCTATTACTGATTATCATTTATTAGAAAGGGCTAGATGACAATTTCTTTATCCAGATAAAACTGATTTGAATCAAAGCAGAATCCAGCACCATGCTCATCAAAGCTGTTTAGGTCAGACATTCACTTTTCACTCTCTCAGCTTCAGTGTTTTGCAAGTACCAGCTGCGATGAATGTCATTATGGAATTGAGCAAAAGAAATAAAAAAAATACTAATACAGTTGCCTTCTTTATACTTGCTGGTAAAATGACTATACTGAGAAAATGAGAACCTAATAAGATCACTAGTAAGAGAATTTAGCAGCATACCAGGCTCATCTGGATCAACTCTGTGAGACTGCAAAGGAAGACTAACATGAGCAGATTAACAGCAACCACAGTGAAAGCCCAACAGCACTCAGAAGGCCTGACATAGCACAATGAGGAGAGCAGATCTCTTTGTATACTTGTGTCAAAACTTGACTAGACAGACCAATTCTGCATCAAGGAATTCTAAATCCAATCATTCTAACAGGATTTTCTCAATGAATCCCAGACAAGCTGATGCTAAGTGTTCATCCGGCAAACCATGTGGCTGAGAACAGCTAAGAATTTTTAAAAAAAATGAGAGGAACTCCCATTTATCCAAGTTTGTTATAAACCTACCATACAGCAATATGGTGTTTACTCAGACTGAGATCAAGGAAGCAGAAGGGACCAAGACGGAGGCCTGCACCCGATGAGGACTATGGGAATTTAGTCTATGATAAAGATGGTGTTTCTGATAAGTGGGAAGAATCTAGTCAGAAAATATGTTGAAAGAATTCATGCTCCATGCCACATACATAAATTCCATAGAAGTGCAGCAATTAAACAACAACAAAAAAATACTGAAACACAAGTATTTATAAAATCTTCCTATCTATGATACGAATAGGAATAAAAACAGATTTGAAAGGAAAAACACCTGAATCATAAAGCTTAATGGAGACTAAATTTAAAGGTAGATGATAAATGTTGGTCTGGGATATTTGTATTACTAATACCCATAATTAATATAGAGTTGCCAGCAAAATACCCCACCCAAAAATAAAAACGAACAGAAAAAAACAATGGGGGGGGGCGCC